CGAGGGCCCTACGACCTGAGGCCACCCCCCACCTGCTGCCTCCCAGGCCCACTAATTTCTCTTTTATGAGCGGGTCTCCATTACCCATATTTCTGGTGACTCAGGACATAAAGTCAGGACCGTTAACGCGAACGGGGAGTAGGGGCGCGCGCTCTCCAGACGACGGGCGAGGGCGCAGCGGTCACTCCACCACCGCCGGGGAGGACGGAATCTCCAGGGAAGCGCTGATGCCGCCAGACCCTGCGCCACTGGGTCCGACGGTCCTGGCACCGAGGGCGGGTCTCGTCGCTCGCGAGCCGCGTGTCCTCACTCGCGGCGCTGGAAGCCTGGCCGGGACCCCGGCGCGCTCTGAGCTCCCCAAAGCTCCCTCCTGCGTCGATCCTAGCAGCTCCGGTTCGGTTCCGCGCGGACTTGGACCGCTGGACGCGGAGAACGTGGTGCAGGGTTCGCCGAGGGCCTGGATCATTCTCTAGGGAATACGGGCAAGGAGGCGGGCGCTCTCAGACAGAGACTTTTTCAGCAAAACGGGCCGGCCGCAGACACCAAGCGTGGACGGAGGGCGGGCGGGCAGGGCGGGCGGGAGGCGATCACCCAGGACTTTGGATGAGTGGCCGGTGGCCGAGGCAGCGGGTCGGTGAGGGCCTGGGGCGGGCGGGGCGGGCAATGGGGGAAAAGGAAACGCTTGTAATACTGTCAACAATCAGGACTTATTTTTTTCAAAATGGGCTGATAGAGAAGATGGATTTCTCTCTATTCTCTAGCCTCCTTTGGCCTGTGGTGCGGGTAGGATGACAGACCTGTGGTTGCATCCACCAAAGGTAAGTACCGTAGACTTGGGGCGCTGGGGCTGGGCACGTGTCCTTCAAGTCTCCAGCCGGTGACCGGTGACAGGGGACCGGTGACTGCCAGCAGCAGAGCGGGGCTGGGCTGGAGGCTGGCGAGAAGTGGGCCTTCCAGGGGAAGAGAACGTCTAGTCTGCTGACAGGAAAGAAAAGAAAGGCTCAGGAGGAAGAAAAAGGAAACAAGAAAGAGAGAGAGAGAGAGAGAGAGAGAGAGAGAGAGAGAGAGAGAGAGAGAGAGAGAGAGAAAGAGCAAAAATGAAAAATTAAGAAAATTAAAGGGAAGGGAGGGAGGAGACTCAGGAACAAAGGCACACCAAGCGGCTTTCTATTGCATTCTTGCGTTTGCTTCTGAGTTTTATCCTGATGCCGTGACGAGGCTTTAGAACACATGATGCAAAACGTGTAAGACCTCCGCCAAGGGTCCCTCTGCAGGAACGGGAGGCGTTAGGCAATAGCTCCACAACAATCACGACAACACGCAGCTCACGGGCTTGCACAGGGGATTGATGGTCCCATCTGACATGTCCAGGTTGTGGGAGGCTGAGGTCTGGTTGCCTCGGGGCCTGGCTGGGGCCCAGGATCAGGCTCTAGCAGACCCTCTGCAGGCTGTCATTCTTGGCCTCCATCTCACAGTCAGCTGGTCCCCAGCAGAACCTCACGCTCTCACAGCCTTGAGACAAAATCCAGAAGAAAAACACCTCCATCTTGTCTCTTGTTGAGGGGAACTTCTCCTCCATGCTCCAATCCCACGGTGAGGTGTCCCCTCACATACTCTCTCCTAACCCATTCCTGTCATGCCTGGGACCACTGTGATGAGGTCAATCAACCCAGCCTGCAGCCTATGTGACCCAGTGGTTCAGCCTGGACCTATGAACCGGGAGGTCACAGTTCAACTCCCCATCAGGGCACACACTCGGGCAGTGGGCTCAATCCCCCATAGGGGGTGTGAAGGAGGCAGCCGAGCCATGATTATTTCTCATCATTGATGTTTCTAGCTTTCCCTCTCCCTCCCTCTCTGAAACCAATAAAAATACCTTTTTAAAAACAAGGTCAAGCCAGACCGGTTTGGCTCAGTGGATAGAGCGTCGGCCTGCGGACAGAAAGGTCCCGGGTTCAGTTCCGGGCAAGGGCATGTACCTTGGTTGTGGACATATCCCCAGTGGGGGGTGTGCAAGAGGCAGCTGATTGATGATTCTCTCTCATCAATGTTTCTAACTCTCTATCCCTCTCTGTGAAAAATCAATAAAATGTATTTTTTTTAAAAAAACAAAACAAAACAAAAAACAAGGTCAATAATCCTCATTTTGCCTCTAGAGCTGAGAGGGGGGCCCACCTCCTTCAAAGCCTAAGCAGGGTACAGAGGGTCTGTGAACAGAATCATGTTCCTGTTGGGAAGGAGGAATATGGGTGTGGAGGTGATAGAGGCAAGCTATATTAGCTGCTATACCAGGCTCTGCCCCTATATCCTTTATAATAGAGGTGATATGCTAGTTAACCATCACTCCAACCCACATGTGGACACAAGATGGCTACCCCAAGATGGCAGGCAAGGGAGGGCAGTCGTGGGTGGAACCAGGCCTGCAAGGGAGGGATATTGGGGGGGGAACCAGGCCTGAAGAGGAGGGCAGTTGAGGGCGACCAGGCCAGCAGGGGAGGGCAGTTAGGGGCAACCAGGCCAGCAGGGGAGGGCAAGGGCAGTTAGGGGCAACCAGGCCAGTAGGGGATGGCAATTAGGGGCAATTGGGCTGACAGGGGCGCAGTTAGGCATCAATTAACCTGGTGGGGCAGTGGTTAGGGTGAACAGGCTGGCTGGCAGAAGTGGTTAGGGGCAATCAGGCAGGCATGCAGGCAAGTGGTTGGGAGCCAGCAGTCCTGGTTTGTGAGAGGGATGTCTGACTGCCTGTTTAGGCCTGATCCCATAGGACAGTAGGATATCCTTTGAGGGGTCCCAGATTGGCAAGGGTGCAGGCTGGGCTGAGGGACAACTCCCCTCCTCCCCAACCCCCGCATGCATGAATTTCATGCACTGGGCCTCTAGTTTAAAATAAGAGGAAATAAGTATTTTTGAAAGCTGAAGGCTCTGTTCCTTACATTAACCAGCATTAGACCATAGACAGAGTTCCAGATCTGTCATAGAACTAATTTGACCTACAGCATGTATTCAGTGCTTGTACTCAGGATGCGGCATTACATGTACATACTTACACATTGACCTATAAATCAGAATCATACAAGTTGGCTATTAGTAATGCCACACATCACAGGCCCTTATCAAAATGACACTCCGCTTTTCAACCTGGATTCAGGGGCTAATGTGGCATCATGGGGCAGAGACTGAAGCTCTGCCCAAAACCGCCACCTCCATCTGCCTCCCCAGAGAGGACAGGAGTGATTTTATTTGTTCTGGAAATTGGTAATTTATGCTGCCTCAATTTGTCTATCAAATATATTCCGTAACTCTCATTCACTCTCAGGCTTACTTTTGCAGCCTCTTGAATAACCATTGATTTTTGTTTCATCCTCACAATCTGTTCACCTCCAGCATAAACCTACTTAACACTGTCTGCCTTAACTTTTGCTCTTGATTCTTGTCATTGTTCACATAGAAATTTGATCTGGAAAGAAAGAGCAGGTTTAGAGAGACTCATACCAAAGTCTTGACTCTCCAGATATGTGAATTTGGATGAATCATTCTGAGTCAGCCTGTTACCTTATCTGCAAAACGGAGATGATACTCACTTGGCAGGTTTGTTGTGAGATTACAGGATACAGTGCTGGGCATGTCCTGTTGGTAAAGCGTGGCCACTATTAACAGATCTAACTACCAAAGAACTGATTTGGCCTATAGCTTGTATTCAGTACTTTGCAATCTTCTAAAGCGCCACCTTAGTAACTCAAAGGATATTTATCTATTCACCCAGCAAAATGTGAAACCATGAGGATACAAAGGTAAAGCTCACTCCTCATTCCTCAGGGAACTAACATCTAGTCAGAGAGACAAATCTAAGCTCATAGCTACATTGAACAGGAACAAAGGAAACATGCTGGGCACGTCGGGAGCGCTCTCGAGATGTCGCCCTTGAGCTTCACCTTGCCTCGGAGAACAAGCGGACCTGTGGAGAAGGAAAGGCAGTTGCTGGCAGATTTTAGGAAAAGCAGTTCCAGAAAGTTGAACAGTGTGAACTGGGGTGAGGGGACTGGGGGGCAGAATGGGCTGGAGCCTCGGATATACTGGCAATGTTATTTTTCTCTAGATAAGGTGGTTCTTTTCTGATCCTTCCAGCTGTACTTTCTTCGCATGTATGGCATGAATCACAATAAAAATATTAAAACATTTTGAAAGATAGGTTGGCATCAACTTATAAAAATCTTTATTTATCAAGATAAGGAATTTATCCTGAAGAACAAGGCACAGTCGTTTTTAAGGAGAACATTCTCAGCTCTGTGCTCTAAGGAGAGGGGTTGGTCACATGGTGGAGACAGACTGCAGTGGGGAGGCCACTCAGAGCTCCAGGCCTGGCAGGGGTGGCCCAGGCCCAACGTGTTCAGAACTCAGACAGGAGTGGCTGAGGGGGAGAGACAGGCTTTGAAAGTGATGAGCAAGGGAACTTAGGAGGCTGTTTGCAATTAGGGGTCAGGAAATTCACCAAATAGTTTTAAAAAGTACTGTTCTGGAGGAAAGAGCTCCAGGTTCCACCGGGTCTTGTGTAACCCTGATCCTGCCAGGACTTCCATTGTGTCAATGGACTATCCCTGCATCTGTCCAGTAAGTTCACTCTCTTGTTGTCATTTAAGTGAGTTTGGATGAGGTTTTGTTGCCTTCAACAGAGCCCTGAGTTATTTGATAGATCACTCTCACGGAATTACCATAGAGCAGAGAAATTTTATCAAAACTCAGGCCACACAGGTGGAGAAGGAGCTTCGTTGCTGTTAGGACAGGCCTTGTAGGACACAGGAAACACTGAGGCGAGGGGGTGGGCCTTGGCCAGTTCAAGGTGAGAGGAGGTTTTCATTTCAAGTCTCCGAGACCCAAAGCAGACTCCTCACTCCCCACCCCCGACCATGTCTTCGCTCTCGTGAAAACCCAAGTCCCTGGAATCCTACTCCTCATCGGAACGATGGTCAGGAGAGGGACAACTCTTTCGTCTCTCACAGCAATTAAACAAGAGCATGGAGCCGTAAAGTCTCGAAGTGCAGGCTCGACAGGGGGTTCCCACGGTCACCACGGAGGGTCGGGTAGCTGTCTGCACTCAGTTTATTCTCAGAGTCAGTTACAGGGCAGTGACTGGCCATGGGTGTTTGCATGGGTTCCACTTGAATAGGCCGCTGCAGGACACACCAAAACCAACAGTGGTGGGCGCTGATGAAACAGAGAATTCCTGAGAAAAAAATGATGATGTTGAAAATGACAACATTTGATGTTTTTAAAGAAATTCCGTTTTTAAACAGGTTTAACAAATGGGTGGAGTCTAAGGACCTATCATCCCATTTCTCTACCCCACCTACCCCTTGCCTTCCTACCATCTATCCTATAAATTCTCATATCCTAGCCATGATTCTTACTGAATGTACAGGAGAAATGGATGCTATTTTTCTATAAAGGCAAAATTCTAACAGAGTAGGAGCAGCTACAACAAGCAAATGAAACGTCACTGCACTAAATCTACACCCAGAAACTAACAGTACTCAGGGGGGAAGAGTTGGAGCCTGTGGGCGTGACTGTTCTGAATTTAGGACGTAGCCCTAAAGCAATCACAAAGCCCCAGAACACTCACCAGACAGGAAAAACAGCATGATGCTGACTGAGAGGATGAAATAGGGGTAGAGAAGGGTGACTTTCGCTTCCTTGAATATGTCAGTTACTCTCCAAATATACAGAGTGTGCAGCAGCAACGCAAGGAACACACAGACACCTGCTTCTCAGGAAAGGGTGAGAGAGCAGCCCGGTGCATTAGTGTATGGCCTTCAGGTGAATCCCAAGACCCAAAGGTGCCCTCTCAGCTCCTCACGGGACTCTCTGTGACCTTAGCAGAGCTTGGGCAGATTCTAAGGAGCTGTGCCCCTGGAACGTGACCCCAGCCCAGCACAAGGACACTGAAGGAACCCACTTCCTCCCATCTCTCACCTATGACGAAGCAGGTGATGGTGAAGACAAAGTACTGTTTCCAGGTGTCAGGTAGGGACTGAGGGAAGGCCACGAGTGTGATGTTCAGGAAGAAGGAGAGAAGAAGGGCGCTGATCATGAAAATTCGACCAAATATGAAGTTGTCTGAATTAGGGAGGGAGAAGGGAGAAAGGCCAGCAGCTCCCTCTAGGGTCCCCTCCTTCCTGGATCTGAATCCCCACAATACGAAGGAAGCAGTGCAGGGACTTTGAGGAAGGAACCGATGGCAGCAGGTGGGAAGCTTAGGGCTTGAGGGAAAGTGAGCTGCTGGAAGGTCCAGGACAGCAATTCTGGCCACGCTGGTCACCCCAGAGGCCTGACCCCTGGGCCCCTCTGGAAATGAGCCATGTTACTGAGAGGAGAATAACTGCTCCGCCTATGTGACCTGGGCAGAAAAAGAGGCAGGAACTTCCTGGAATGGACAGGCTGACGCAGGGCCCTCCCTTCAATGCCGGCACTTACATGACCTGGGTGGAGGAACCCAGCACTTGACCTCTTGGCTGCAGGTGGCAAACAGGGCACTGAACAGGACCTGGTGGCCATTAGCAATGTCCACCTTCGCCCAGGTGGACAGGCTGAAGGCCCACCACAGAAGGGCCATCGCCGTAACTGTGCAGATGAGGACCAGAATGCGGTATGGCTTAGTTATCCCACATTTCATACAGAAGGGTGCAGGCTAGGAAAAAGAAAAAAAGAGGGGGGACAATATATGAGTTCGTTTTCCTTTGGGATTTCTCCCCAGACAAGTCCAACCCTCTGGTCCTTTCTCATTCTCAGCTTCCAGGCTCCCCTCTTCCTCGTCCCCTAACCAGATCCTCTCCAGGCCGCTGGCTGACCTGGGTCCCGCACCAGCGGGATGGAAAGCTCCTTCTGTTGGTCTCTGCATCTTGTCTGACACACCCCTACACACATTCCTCCACAGCCTGCCCTGCTGCTGTGCTTCCCCACAGGCCCTGTCCCACCACCTAGACTTGATGTCATCTCCGTCATCTCCCACATTTGGCACAGTCCTTACATATAGGAGGAGCACCGTAAGTATTTCTTAACAGAAAAGGGGGTGGGGGAACCACAGCACATTCCAACTGCATCCCATGGTGATGTCAAGCGAGGTAAAAGTTTTGGATGCCTCCTCCACGTCATTCCCCTCTAATCACAGCCATGCTTTTCTCCTGCTGGTCCTAACTCCAGCGAGTCTTATGTCTTAGTTCTGTTTTGGCCCTCTCAGGTTCAGCTTCCATCCTCTGATGCCCCATGTTCTATAGCAGCACCTTTTTACAGAGAGGCCCATCCTGGCCTTCTCAACAGTAAAATGCTGTTCCATGGGAACGTTTAGTGACATCATAAGTATGTGACCTACCTCCTAAAAAAATGTGAGCTCCTACCCCGTGGCCCCTGTTTTTTAAAGAATGAGTCATGTCCCATGTCCCTCTGCCTAGCGATGCTTTTGTGTTCCTCGGCACATGTGCGCTTCTCAAGTTATAGCTTGTATCCTTAGCTCTAGCTTCTAATACCAAATGGGCGCATTCCACCTAGTCCTGTACGAGACTGAAGGGCACGTGAGAGAGAATACAGGCGAATCAGGAAATAACTGGGAAGGTGTAAGTAGAAACAGGTTTTATGTGAAGGGCACAATGGGTCATATTACGTCCTTCACTAGGTGTCAGGACATGTGATGCCTTTTGACCCAGCCTTATTGGGCTGACCAAGGGTGAACACTTGGCATGTTTGTTGATGAAAGAATTAATGAATGGATAAAAATAGAGACCAAGAAGCAGAGGGTTGCTAAGAACCTCTGTTTAGGTGCTTCTTACATGTAGGCTGTGGAAAGGCCAGGATTAACTTTGTCTATTCTATTCACGTGTGAATTCTAAGCACCTGCAACTTTATTGGCACGAGGCAGGTGTTGCATAAATATTTGTGGAATGAATGAATGGATGATCCAGAATAGTTAGGTTCCCTCCACTGGGTATATACTTTGCCCTCACATTTCCAGGATTGACTAGGACTTTGGAGTGTGCATCAGGAGTGCATTGCCAGCCGAGCACTATAGGCTTACATGTGATCAGTTGTGCTACTGAATGAGGACTGCATGGCAATGGCATTGGCTGGGGAGACAAGGAATAATTATGGCAGGAAATAAGAAATAACAAGGTAGAGAGTACTTTTGACAATCATGTGCACACAGAAACCCAGCCAGAGACTCAGGGAGAGTCAATATTTCAAGGCAATATGTTTGAATCTCTAGGTTGGTGGGAACCCTTATTTTCTCCTGAACTTTGAACTGACCCAGAAAAACAAAGCAAATGGACAAACTGGTTTCTGCTGATGTTAAAAAAGGAACAGATGAAAACTATAAACATATTTAAAAGCAAACTCTTGACTGTCAACATTGGTCCTCTACTCTTATTTACAACTTCTCAATGCACACATTAAAAACATAATTACTTACTCCATGTCAACTTTATGTTGCCCCTTAAAATGATACAACTGTTTTGTTTTGTTTAAAATGGCTTGGAAAAGGAGTCAAGGAGAAATTAGAGACAGGAAACCATTTAAATGCTAGCTTTGCCAATTACTTTTTGGCTAAGTAACTTCTTATAGTAAGAAATTACTGCAAGAGAAAGTGAGAGAGAGAGAGAAAGAGAGAGAGAGAGAGAGAGAGAGAGAGAGAGAGAGAGAGAGAGAGAGGAATTACTGTTTCATTTGCGGAATGTGGTAGTGGTGTTGCACTTATATAAATACTAGAGGCCAGGTCCATGAACATTCATGCACTGGAGGGGGGTCCCTCAGCCTGGCCTGCCCCCTTTCACAGTCCTCAGGGGCAGGAGGTGACCTGGTGATCAGGGGAAGGTTACACCCCCATCACACCTCTGCTGCTGCCACTGCCGGCAGCAGAAGCATCAGCTGGCCCTGGTTGTCTGAGCTTCAGGCAGCCCTGAGTGGCTGGGCAGCCGCCATCCAAGACTTGCCTGCACCTTGGGTGTCAGCTGGGCAGCTGACATCCAAGGCTTGCCTGCATCTAGGACCAGCTTGGGTGGGAGGGAGGCTGAGGGGACTGGGCGCCTCCAACTTGTGGCTGTGGGCGCTGCCATCTTTGAGGGTGTGACAATCAATTAGCATATTCCCTCCTTATTTACTATGGGCACCACCATCTTTGTGAAGGTGTGATGATCAATTAGCATATTCCCTCTTTATTAGTTAGGATTATATAATATAAAGTTCTCATCTCTAAGACATTTAAGATGATATGCTAGCTCTAGGTTTAACTTTATTATTTTTTTGTTTTCTTTGTCTTTTTCTAGGTTTACCTTTAAATTATTCACTGTCCCACCCCATAAAAAACATAGTGAATAGAGGAAACAAGACTGACAAAATGTTGATGATTCTAAGATTATTACAGGGGAGTTCATGATATAATTATGTCAATGCCCATATGTTTGAAAATTTTCAAAATATATCGTCGTTTAAAATATGTAATAAAACATTTCAGATCCGAAAGGGCTAGAAATGAACTTCTTTCTTTTGCAAACACACTACTCACATGATTGAAAGTGCTGCCTGCTCTCTAACAGATATAGGATTACAAAACATTTAAGTAGTAAGACTTGTAAATTGAAATTACTCCCCCACGCCCTTGAAATTACTTCTTGTTACAAAAGCTGCAGGATGGATGCTGTGTTATCAGGAGTGACATCAACATCAGAACGTAACATCTATGAAGCACAATAAAGCACAGCACAAGATGAAATAGCTTGTTGCCTTTTATACACGGAAGATTTGTGCAATCCAGCCTGGAGCCCGTCCATTGGCATGTCAGTGTCACATGTGAGTCATTCCTGCAACATTTCATCGTTATGATCTGTGACCAGCTACTTCGTGCTACTCTTGTCCAGCACTATGATGAGGCTAAGGGTGTGCCACAGGTGCCCCTAAGACACTGTCCTTGCATAAACTGCTCACAGGGACGCCTACACACTCTGGGGCGCCAGCTGAAGGTGAACAGCGTTAACTGTCTGAACTGGCCAAGGTCAAGGCCTGAGCTAGCTGACGGCGCCAGGGCAGGTTTAGGGAACTGGTAACAGAGCAGCTTTATCTTCGTGTCTGGCAGAGCCACTCTGTTCCAGCCGTGAGTGTCCCTGCTTGGTAATTTCTTGGCTGAAATGGTCAAGCCACGGTAAAATGTAACCATCATCTAAAACAAAGAAAGGAAGCACTGACTTCTAACCGATTAAATCAGGGTCCTCGGCTGGTTCCAGCCATGTCTTTTCAAACTCTGGCTGTGCTAACGTGCAGGTAGGGATGAGAAACGCCGGACTAAAGGTCTCTGGGGGGACTACTTGCGGGATTCTTGGGTCTCGAACCCGACCGCCGGGGCGGCGGGAGGCCTTCACGAAGGAGGTTTAAAGGAAAAACTAAGGGAGTAGGGAGGGGAGAGGCCCGCCCAGGCCGGCGGTTAGTCAGGGCTGCAACGACCTGCAGCAGGGACGCCTGGCCCGGACCGCACTTCCGGCCCCGGTTGCTGACCCCTCACCTGAGCCCCAAGAGCAGACAAGACCTTGGCCCTTCTCCCGGGTCCGCGGGGAATTCGGCGCCTCCCGCCGTTGGGGAGCGGCTTGGGGAGGCCCAGTCCGTTCCACCCTGGTTCCTCCCGGACCCGGGATCATAGGTCGCAACCAGAACCCCTGGAAGCAGAGGGCATCTCAACTTCCGGAGGGGAAAATAACGAAAGGGCGCGAGCCCGTCGACAACTTCCGGTTTCACCGGGCGCTAGGAGCCCCAGACAACAGGGTTCCGGGACCCGCGCAGCCCCGGGAGGCTGGCCCGCTCCGGGGCCTTCCGGTCGCCTTGGGAGTGTCCTCTCCTCTTTCGGGGAGCAGTGCGGCTCCGTGCCGGCAGGGGGCGTGGCCGGGGGCGGGGGCCGCGGCTGGACCCTGTCCTCAGGCTCCGGGGGCCACGGCCGCCCGAGCCAACGCCGACTGAGTAGCCAGTGGCCGGAAGTGGGGGCGGGCACGCCAGTGGCGCAATCGGTCCGCGTGCGGTATTCACAGGGTGAATGTGCCTCCGCGGGAGATTCTGAGATTGCGAGTTCGAGCTTTACCCTGCCCCAGTGCTTTCCACAGGACTTGGACTTTTATTTTTTGAGATATTAATTACCGACTCAGTCTTAAAAATGTACTATATGTCTGTCCAGATTTTCTATTTTCTTCTTGTGTTCATTGCCATAATTTACATTCTCTGGGAAATTTTAAAATATATTTGTTATTATTGATAGTATCACAAATATCTCCCACACACACCCCTTTCCTCCACTCCTCCCAGCCCCTAGCTCTGGGAAATTTTTCATTTCATTGAAGTTGTCTAATTTATTAGCATGACGTCCGTACAATTTGTCCCTTTATGATGTTTTCAAAAAAAAAAATTTTTTTTTTGAGATCAGTAGTGATGTTCTGTTTCCTTCCTGATTTCTCATCTTCTCTTTCTTTTTTCCGTTTGAGTCTAACTGAAACTTTGTTCATCTTGCTGGCTTTTCAGAAGACCCATCTCTTCATTTCTTTGGCTTTCATTGTTGTTTTTCTGTTTTCCATTTCATTGATTGTACTCTAATTCTTTCCTTTCTTGTACTGGCTTTGAGTTTAGTTTGCTTATCTTTTTTTAGTTCTT